CCAATGTTTCTTTCTCGAATATCTTCTTTTCTTATGTAAAAATATAGCCATAATTGCAGCTGCTTTCCTTTTTCGGATATTTTCATAATAATTCATTATTTGCATATAATTTAATAATGTTTGGTTATACCAAGTAATCAAATGAATAATTAAATTTTCCTCCATGTGTTAACACACAACATATGACGCTCATAAACTATTCGCGGCGAATTATTCGCTACTCGCTACAAATCATTCGCAGCGAACAATCTACATGAAAAGGCTACATGAAAAGGCACCCTTAGATTGCAGCTGTGTAATGGCTCCTGCACACAGGACGTGATAATGCTTGCCGCGCGGCAGAAGTTCGCGCGACAGCCAATCAATATGCTGCTTTCCGTAATAACCTTCTAGCTCTTACGGAAAAGCAACATATTGATTGGCTGGGGCGCGGACTTCTGCTGCGCGACAAGCATTACCGCGTCCTGTGTGCAGGAGCCATAAGGAATCTGAACCTATGGATGCGTTCAGGGCTGCGTTCAAAAACACTGAAAGTCCACGACGGAAAGTGGCTATGGTGGATGGGCTTGGTGGGGTTAGTGGAGTTGGTATCGAGAGGAGTTTTCGAACAACCATGGAAGAATGCTCAATGTGACATACTACATGTGTGTTGTGCCTACATATGTGTTGTACAAAATGGCTGATCGAAAGCGTATTTCGACATTAGCTATAATTGCTTCTCAGCAAAATAATAATAAATTAATAAATTTAGTAATTAATTAATTAATTAATTTAGTAATTATTAATTTATAATTTAGTTATCTGGAAAGTTAATTGGCTATATATTTCTCGGTCCGAGAACTCGGATCGATTTCTAGCATCGTGGGCACCAGGCCTAAGGAAATTTATAAACTTATTTATTACTCCTTACCTTTAACATCGTATATATAGACATTTCCCTTGTCATCCTTTTGTATATTTTTTTAAATATCCATGCATAAAATATGACGACCCGAGATTAAATTTTCCATTTTTTTTCACAAATTGTTACTGATTCGTGACTTTTAACGTGCCT